TGTTTTGTCTATCTTTTTATTCCTTATTTGTACCCTCCCCCTTGACTTGGGTTGTGAGCCGCCCTGAGTCCCCTTCGGGAAAAAGGGCGGCATAGAAATTTAATAAATTCAATTCAATTCAGGTCCAGAAGGTTTTAGAGAATGAGAAAGTCAAGATCTTGTGGGACTTCAGAATTCAGACTGACAGGCCCACAACACACCTGACATAACAATAGTTGAAAAGAAAAAAGTATGGTTCATTGACATTGCAATACCTGGAGATGCACGAATTGAAGATAAACAGCAAGAAAAAATCGCAAAGTACTGGGACTTGCAAATTGAAGTTGAGCGACTGTGGAAAAAGAAATTGTGTGTTGTCCCAATTGTAATTGGAGCCCTTGGAGCAATACCCAAAGTGATACCTCGCTATTTGGAAATTTTACATTTATCAGACTTGAACATTCTGATTCTACAAAAAAACACCCTACTTGGAACAGCTTATATTCTTCGACGTTACCTTAACAATTCCTAGGTCCTTGGTTAGGACTCGAGCTGTTGAGCTACCAACCAGCCCCAAAGGCTATGAATCTCACTAAAGATTAACCACATAATAATAATAATAATGATTATGATGATGATAATACTATATGATTTCACATCATGTCTAATAAGGGTGATTCTTTTTTTACTTTGGAGGCAAAGATATCTTCATGACAGAGGAACAAAAAAAATACTACAATGCCATGAAGAAACTAGGTTCAAAAAAACCAGTGAAGCCCATTCCAAGACCCCAGGTATGCCATTCTCATGATCCAAGCCTATGGTCAGTGTCCATGGGAATTTGTTCCCCTCAGAAACACCCCCCCCCACTTCACCCCATATTTAGATACAAAAGCTAATCTAACTAGTCAGAATATTAATTGTCTCACTAAATGATAATATATTTTTGATTTAATGAACTTTGGCTGCAGATTTTGGAAACAACTGGCAAAAGCTCCCATACCATGTGTTTTTGCACATGCCTAAGATACCATTTGGATTTAATGGAGATTCTGCTTTAACTTTCCCGCTCTCTGGTAAATTGAGAATTTACTGTACAAGACTCTCGGGATCATAAAAATATGTTAATATATAACCCTTTAGAATTATGACAACTGCTATGAAGTTTATTTTTCAGAAGGTAAACATGAAGGAAAAAAAAGTATTGAGGCCAGGTTCCTAACAAGTTTTCATATATACCCTTAACTGATTACTATCCTTTTCTACCAACTTTTTCTATTTCTTTCTTTCCTTTGCATCCAAGTTTCTTTTTCCTAGATTCCAAGTTCTTCATTTCCTACTGTTTTCTAATACCAACATCTGACTTTTTTCTGCCCATGATATCTACTGCAGTGATTTTTATAGAAGCATTATCATTAGTTTTTCTAGCAGTTGTGAAGTGGGTACTGTACATTAATTGTCTTTACAGAGGCAAACTGATATTATAAGTGATTCCAGGTAATTCCTAAAATCATTATTTCTCCCTCCCATGCTCAGGTCTTAGAGGATAGTGATATCATCATAAATAATGAGATTAAAATATTTCAGTTTATTTTGTAGAAGTTCGGAAATATTAAGGGTGACATTGTATGAATTAGACTTTACAGGAAGTATCACAGCCCAACTTTAGCCATTTTCTCACCAAAGTTCAACAGCATTATCTCAGCAAGTTCTGAAGTCCACTAAATGGGCTGTGAGTCACCCATCCCTCTCTTAAGAAATCTCACAAGTCAGGGGTCTTAGCATAATGATGAGATTCTAGGGCAATACAGTGATCTTGTTTTTTCTCAAAACATTAGGAATTTTTATTTTTAAAAAATAATTCAGAGTCAAGAAACTTATTTCTTCTTTTAAAAAGTAATGTTTGTGTCTTCAAGTAGCTTCAAGACAGTAAAAATTGGAAATTTTTACTTTTGGGTAGCATACTAAATGATTTAGATTTAGCCCTTCAGCACTTCAACTTTTTTCTTTGAGTTTTTCTCCATTTCTCTTCCTTTTCTTTCGTTTTCATGTTTGTCTTTGTCCATGTGTCTTGCACCCTTCCTGTCTTTCTGTCATACACACATGCATATCTACCAATTATTGAAGAACAAGTATCAAGGGATGATCTTTGACTTTGTGACTCAGCAAGCTTTTGATATAATCATCATGATCCTCATTTGTCTTAACATGGTAACAATGATGGTGGAAACAGATGACCAAAGCCAAACCAAGATAACTATCCTTGCTCAGATCAACTTGGTCTTCATTATCATCTTCACATCTGAATGTTTTCTCAAGATGATTGCCCTGAGGCACTACTTTTTCACTAATGGCTGGAACATCTTTGATTTTGTTGTGGTCATTCTCTCCATTGTAGGTAAGAACAAATATGAGCATAACTGATTTGTTTCTGAAATACTTCAATCAACGGTATGTACAGTGGAAATAGCAAAGCAGGAATAAAGGTGGTATAGGATAAGTACAATTAGCTAAAAGCTATTATGTAACCAACATACTCAAACTCAACTTCTGGAGCAGATCTGTGCAAATAAATAATCATGTAATCCAAATCTTTTTCAAAACAATATTAAACATGAAGGCATGCATGAATAAAAAGTTTAGAATATTTTAAAAAATGCCTACTAAAATGAAGAGAAAATCAAGCTGAAAAAATTAATAAAATAGATTTATATTTAATGGCATGATGTGCTTATGTACAAAGGAAATTGAAATTGAGCTGACAAATTGTACCAAATAACAATTGTGTTAAAATGGTATTCCCACTTTCTCCTTAACAAATCTTGAATGTACTATCGATGGTTGGAGGTTGTGATAAGATATTTCTGTTTTACAAAACAAGCAGAATAATTTTTGAAAATTATTCCAGAGTTTATCTGTTGCCTTCATTACTTGACAGGGGAGTTTTTCATTCCTTCTCTTGCTTCACCCAGCCTCTAAAAGGTAATCCATTTGATTTCCTACCTAGACACTTCCAGAAATATTGCCAAATCTTCCCAATTATTAAAAGAATAACAATGGATTTTTTTGCTGTTCATAGGCAATCCATATTTCTGATTATGAAACTAGTAAACTTCATGACTATAGGTGAGATCTGCAATTCAATCTACATTCTGTTTCCGTCCTTTAAAAAGGGATGTTTTGGATCATTCTTTTTATATCCTGCTACTGTATTTACCATGTCTGTAGATCACTCTGAGAGCTATTCCTTATCTCTTCCTAAAGAAATGACAAATCTGACCAAGTAATCATTTTTTCTTGTCATAGCTTCATATTTTTGCCTTCATCCTATGACCAATGTAGAGCTCACCACTTAAAATTATCTTTAGCAGTTCTGGTTTTAAACCAGAATCGCCAAGTGGGAAGGGATCCTGGAGGTCTTCTTATTCAACTTCCTTCTTAAGCAGGATACCTATACTATTCTGGACAAAGTGCCACCCAATCTCTTCTTCAAACCTCCAGTGATAGACCACTCACCACTCCTGATTCATTGTTCTCACTGACAGGAAATTTATCATCTTTATTGATCTCTGCACTCTTTCTAGAGTCTCAACATCTTTTTTGTATTGTGGAGACCAAAACTGGACACAGTATTCCAAGTGTGGCCTTACCATCGCAGTACAAAAGATACCAACACTTCACGTAATCTTTATACTGTTCCTCTGTTAATGCAACCTAAGATTGCGTTGGCATTTTTTGATTGCTGTCATACACTGCTGGCTCATATTTAATTGGTTGTCCACCAGGTCTCTTAGATCCATTTTGCAGTTATTGCTGTTAAGGCAGGTACCATCTATTCTATATCTCTGCATTTGGTTTTTCTTTTCTAAATGTAAAATGCTGTGTTAACCCACGCTTGGACTCTCCTCGCAGCGCCCTGAGAATGACTGATCAGGTAAGCCAATGGTCTTTTTTCTCATCACTGAATAGTATTTTGTTGGATAGGGTCTAGTGTTCAAGTCTCTCAAGATCCTTCTGGATCTTGAGCCTTTCTTCTAAAGTTGGCATGTTGTTGGCAATTCCCCCAAGTTTGGTATTATCTGCACATTTATGAATTCCGATCCTTTCATTTAATCATGTTGAAGAGTATTGGGCCTAATACAGAACCTTGCATACTGCATACTTCCTTCCATGTAGAAATAATTCCATTAAAAACTACACAATGAGTGCGGTTGATCAGCCACTTACATATCCATGTGGCGATGATACTGTCTATTCCATATTTTTCTATCTTACCAAGAAGTATGCTATGATCTGTTTTATTAAATGCCTTAGTGAAGTCCAAATATATTATGTACACCTCATTTCACTGGTAATTTAATCACTTTGTCAAAAAGTTTGTCTGACATGTCCTGTTTTGGATAAACCCACAATGGTTTCTAATAATAGTTTTGCTTGTTTCTAAATGTTAGCAGATCCACTGCTTATTTTTTCTTGGTTTGTCCCTGCTATTGTTGTTCCTTCAGAACCGGAAGATAATCCATCTGGTCCTAATGATTTGAATTTACACTCAAGTAGATAGATGTTGCCTTTTCATTTTCTTGCCTATTTTGATTTGTATTCTCAATCTGCCTTTTATAGTACTGTTTTTGTTTGGTTGAACTGTTTCTTCCTTTTGTAAAGACAGAAGCAAATAATAAATTAAGCAATTCTGCTTTCTCCCTGCTGCCTGTTATCTTCTTGTATCTTGTCCCAATAGTGAACCAATCGTTTCCTTGAGTTTTTCTTATGGTTTACATGTTGAAACTTTTTAAAATTATATTTTTAAACATTTCTTGAAAGGCTCAGTTAATTCTAGGCCTTAGTTTTCCTCACTTCAACTTTGCAGATATAGATAGATAGATAGGTAGATAGATAGATAGATAGATAGATAGATAGATAGATAGATAGATAGATGAATAGATAGATTCTGCCCACTGTATATTGCCAATTCTGCCACCTTTATAAGATTTCCATCCAAGAACTTTCATACTTTTTACAGTTTATTTTGCCTACTCCATTCTGGCTTTGGGAGCAATGATGCCAAAAAAATGGAGCTGGACTTCTTGGGCTTCTCTATCAGCACCACCATTCTCTAGCAGCACTGGCTGACTTCCTTAGCATTGCCTCCTGCTTCATTCCATGACATCTTCAACAAGCTTAATCTTTAGCCAGGATATTTTTTAAACACAGATTTATTGGTATTCCAGAAGAAGGCTAGATCTGGCTACAGAAATAGCCCAACTCACAGGCATGGAAAAGGAGGAATGGGACAATCACAGCAGTTAGATTGACATAGATGGGTGGGTGTGGCCAGGTGGGCACAGACGACTGGGCATGGCAGGCTTAGTGCTGCTGATTCAGCTCTGCCAACTTGGCACAGACAAGTGGTAGGGACAAGTGGCTATGGCCAAATGGATGTGGCTGGGTGGGCGCAGATGGGTGGGCAAGGCTAGGTTGGCATAGAACAAGTCACAACAAGATGTGGAGACAATTCGTGTTTCAGAAACTCTTCGCCTTCCCAAACTGCTGACAGCCAAGCATTTACACACTCACAACACAAATCACATTCTCCGTTTGTGGACTTTTGTATGCATCTGTGCTTAGAAACTGCCAGTCGTGCCTGGGCTTGGGGAGTAGAAGCTCTGTTTTGGCATGCTGGGTATTCACATGAGTGCATGCATGTATACACACACACACACATCATTCCAAGCTTGGGGACTTGCCTCATTCTGGCACCACAAGTTGGCAGTAAGATGCAGATCATGGATCAGCAAGGAATAGCTTAGAAGAAGTTTGCAAAGGGAGGTACTGCAAAAGGAATACTAAAGAGAAAAATGAACAATGAGGTCCCTCAGTGTCTGCATCTGCAGAATTGAACATTTGTGCTCCAAAGGGGAGCTTGCAGCTTGCTAAACAAGGTAGGGAAGTCCCCAAACTTCAAATGGGATGCATCAGTGGTGGGTTTCAAATTTTTTTAGAACCTCTTCTGTAGGTGTGGCCTGCTTTGTAGGAGTGGCTTGCCGGCCATATGACCGGGTGGGAGTGGCTTGCCAGCCATGTGACTGGGTGGGCGTGGCCAACTTGTAAAATGTGGTGAAACTCACTTAACAACGCTCCAAAATGTTGGCTCAGAAACTCTGGCATTTGAAGCACACAAGTCTTAAAGCTGTCAAGTTACAAGGCCCTTGCACCCCTAACCTTTTAGGGGGGGGAAACCCAGGGGTGTTCAAACTTGACAGCTTTAAGACTTGTGGACTTCAATTCCCAGAATTCCTCCTCTCGCTCTTCATCTTGATCATGTGCGGACGGGCGGGGAGAGGGAGCTGGAACGGGTTCTAAACAGCACTATAGATTTGGCAAGAACCCACCCCTGGTATGCATGTATGCATGCATGTGCGCACGTGAGCACCTAGCACAGTAAAGGAGAGATCCTTCTCTCCAAGCCCGAACACGACAGGCAATTTCCCAGCATGGATGCAGATAAAAGTCCCCAGTGCAGAATGGAGTTTTTGTATGTGTTTGTGCATGCACACGTGGCTGCCAGCTGTTCTAGATGTTATATAACTATAATGCAACATCAATTGCACATACTTCTAATTTGTGTTTTTGCTTTGATAATTTGATTTCTGAGAATTTATTTTCTTATCATATGTTGTAAGTTTTTGTGATAATGTGGGTAGTGCTCACTTAGCAACAGTAATTGGGACCAGAATTTCCCTTGCCAAGCCAAGTGGACAGAAACACCAATGACAAGTGCTTGCACCCTTTCAGTTTCAATTACCATTGTTAAGCAAATCCCATAAGGTCATTAAGCGTGACATCACATGGTCACCATTTGGGGCTCTCTGCTGGCTTCCCCAATTTTTCTTGTAGGAAGGCAGTAGTGAAAGTTGCAATTACATGGTCATGTGACTATGGGTGCTTCAATATCATGATTGCAAGCCAGTTACCAAAACCCAGATCATCAGCATGTGACTGTAGATGCAACTATTGGCTCAATGGGATGCAACTATTGAAGTACAAAGACCCATCGTAAGTGCCATTTGTTCAACAAAATTGTAAATTTGAACAGTCATTGAGTGAATAGTTGTTAGGAAGGAGGAACCACCTTTAATATATTTATCTTTCTTTTTTTTTTTTTTTTTNGACCCGGATTGTTGTTGGGGGCAATATGCTGACTCTGTAAACCGCTTAGAGAGGGCTGAAAGCCCTATGAAGCAGTATATAAGTCTAATTGCTATAATTGCTAACTGTCAGATGTATCTCTCCAATATTATCATTATTGTTGACTGTAGACAAACAGACTGAGAGATAGATTTTAATAATTAGTGAATGTTGTGTATCATTATATATTTGCTGTTGCTTGGAAGCTGCTTA